AGCATATTGACTCATCTTCTTACATTGGTTCCCCTTATGATCTCAAGCTAGGCACTGTAGTTCCAAGGGTCACATGCAAATGCAAAAAGGGAAATTTCCCTTTGAATGTTTACTTTTGAAAGTGAATTATTTTCCCAAAGTCCCCCATTAGACTTCCTATCCAGCTTCCTATCACAAGTCTATTGTTAAACCAATCACTGGCAAGGGGAATGGGAATGCCATCATTGGCTTAAGTCAATCATGATTCGCTCCCTGGGGTTGGGTGGGTCCTTACCTCTTTGGAGCCTATGGCCATGAATCCCCTTAAGAGAATCTGGGTTCTCTTAGCAAGAAAGAAGGAAAGGAAGAGGGGCAGTTTGGTAATTGCTGTTGAGTAGGCAACAACAATGTCTCTCACAGGAAATTTGGTCCAATAACCAGCCAATTCACTTGTATGAGTGGGCTCATATTTCTGGTGAGTGATGTGATGTTTCAGGGTCAATGTAAACCACTCTTTATGATTATTTAAATTATAAAATTGAAGTCATGGTTCATTTAACATCCATTTGGCTTTTTTTTTTAACAGTCTCTGACAAAATCCCATCCCTGATTAGTTATCTCTTAAGCGTTTGACTTTGTTCTCAAAATACATAAGAAAAGAAGTTAAATGAGAATTATGATTCTCTTATTAATGAAAAAGTGGTACTAATAACTTTATTCTTATTGATGGAAATGTAGCTATATAATTTAAAAAGTAATTATTTTATCAGGGAAGTCTTAGAGATTATAAAAATAATCATCTATTGAATACAGTAATAGCTACTATTTAATGATTGCCTACTATGGACCAGGAACTACACCAAACACTTTACATGTATTATCTCATGTGTTATCCCATCAGTCCTGCAAGATGGATAGTATATTCTCCATATTATTGATGGAAAAACCAAGGCCCAGAGAAGCTAAGTTGCCCAGAGTCTAAATCCAAGAGAAAAGATAACATGACGTCAGGGTTAAGAGAAATGACATAGATATAGGACCAAATCCTGACTCCACCACTTGCTATGACCTTGGCCAAGTTACTAAACTCTCTTCATCTTAGTTTTCTCTTCTGTAAAATGGGGACAAGGATAGCATTTACCTCATGGAGTTATTGTGACATTATCCAGGTAAAGCAATTTGCTGGGACATGGACATTGTAGGAACTCAATAATTACTAACAATTAGTGTTAACAACAAAGTGACAGAGCCAGGATTTAACTGAAGGGCTGGCTAGCTACAGATCCTGCCTCCTTTCTCTTTTTCCACGCTTCCTCCAAGGCCTCACCATATAAACAATGGACAAGGGCTCACGGGAAGTTTTACGTCATTGAACAACTAGAAAACATGCTTTTCCAAGAAACATATTTTAGTTTAAGGGTGAGAAGAAACATGAAAACATGCCACACCCAGATACTCATTTGTTATTTTTGTTGCTTTTTACCCTTCTGCTTCGAATATAGTCATTTAGATAAATTGCATAATCCAGAGATATAGTTAGTTATTGTTAAATAAAAATGAATCATCTATACATGCTGAGCAAGGACTAATCTTTTAGCTAATTGAGACTCATGGGGACTGAGCTATCAATTCTTAGGCATGATGTGTTAGCTCTACAATTTATTGCCCTGTTATTGCTAAAGCTTTCTTCAAGATCTGACTATGGAACTAGACATTTCCCTTTTTGTAAATAAATACTATTTTAATATAGGATTTGAGTTTTGTTATCATTCCATTTTGGACATTTCTTCTTGAGAAGCAATTACTCGAGTTATGCACACTCATCTACACTTAGGCTATTGGCCTTCATGAGCAGAATCTCTGAGAGTTGACTCTATTTATCATGTTTGTCTCCAGGTCACAGAGGGGAATTTTGGGGGCACAAGCTGTTAGATAATTTACTCCCAAGTCTCATTTGTGGCTTGGTGTCGGATTCCTGCACCCATTTTTCCCCTTGGGAAGGAGGGGATGTCCCTACCATATAGGGAACAAATGCAGATAAAAGGAAGCTTTGATGGAGCTCTTATCTGACACTGTGGTATCTGGTCTGGGAAAGAGCGTTGCTCTTCTTCCTTCTTGGTCCCATTTCGTTCACATCCTGTATAATCCCTCTGAATTCCTTAGATAATAACATCTCTTAGATGACATCTTATTCCCACCCTATTTATTCCTTCTTAGTCTTCTGTGCTTAGTTGTCTGCTCTGATCTGCCTACATCTCTAGCCCCCACAATCTATAACATCTTACTACAAAACTCTGTTCTGCTTCTTTGGGAGTAATCACGTGCTTCCTCACTGTTCTGCTCATTGGCCTCCACCTGACTATTCCGTTTTGCCTATAGCATTCTTGGCTTCATCCAAGGATCCCATCCTAGTCATAGATATTTGCTTTTCAACCTGGATTTAACTCTTAGAGCAGGATTTTGTTACCCCACTGTGTATTATGTTTTATTTTCTTTTTATATGGCTGCCACATAGTAGATGCTCAATCCATTTTTTAGATTCAAATTCCAACTCTTTGTGCTGTATTCTTCTGCTTTCTTCCTCCTTTCTCATTATAATGATAGTAGACCATAAACCTGCCTTAAATAATAAAACACGAGAATCAATTGCGGAAAAGGATTTAAATCCCTGAAAAGGAAGGGTCTTATAATCCATTGTAATTTACCACAATGCTCTTCTCTGAACTCCATAATTATTACTGCTACACTAAGTGATTTGGTGCTTTGGTTATTCTAGTGTATAATTATTTAGCATTCTGAGTACATGTTTTGGCTTTCATCAGATTGTCAGTCCTTTGAGGGAGGTCTCCAGCATAGTGTCCAACTCAGTTCCTGGCATGTTCCTATGCCGTGAATGTTGGTGCTGATGATGAACTGAGGGGATACCAGAGGAAGAAGATGAGTGGAGTTTTGCAAGAAATGGAACCTGTGTGTGAGGCCTATTTAACTCCTTCAGACATCCCTTAATTTTCTAAGTGGGTGTCTGGAAGAACTCGTTCTCTCCATGGAGTGGGTGTGTGCATCATGGACTCTCTGAGCTACGTTATCTGTTTAGTAACTTGTCACAGGTCAAGGCCCTGTGAATAACAGCAAGACTAGTACTACTTTACCACCTACCAAATCTCCTAGTAAGGTCTAGCTCTTAGTTCCCACTAACTGGCCTCAGTTCTTAGTTCTCACTGAATTCAAAAGAAATTCCCTCTAATCAGGTATGGAGATATACACCCACTGGTATAACTTCAGCAGGGCCTCAAAGTGGCTACTTCCGCTTCTGATCACCTTGTCTGAACGCTGTTGACCAAAGTGAGGTGATGCGGCAGCTCAGGAGGCCAAACTTCAATTCACTCCCCATAATTTGGATTTGACGGTATGAAGTAAAACCGTAGTAATTGTTTCGACCAATTCAGCCTTTTTGAGTTCTAAGTTAAATTTTAAAAATCTAAGAAGAAGAAAAAAGAAGAGAGCCTAACACATTTTAAGAAACCACAAGCACCTTGTGAAAAGTCAACTTGTAAAATCCCAGCTGCTGTAAAAGTATATTTAGTAACTCTTTATACCTACAGTAGGTATGCATGCATGGGTATGCATGTGTGCATGCACATGTTTTGGACTTATTTCAGTAGGAAAAAAAGGTGTTCAGGGACAAGTAGAGCCAAGTCTATCTGTATTGCTTTTTTCTTTTTGTGACCATCCCATGGCTGTTATATATTCTGGGAAAGCCATTTTACTTTTCTCAGATCGTAGTCTCTCATCCCTAAAATATGAGGATGTGACCATATGCTTCCTAAGGTTCTCTCAAGCTCTCACTTTATGATTAATTGTCAATAAAATAGAAGACTCATAAACAGCTTATTTTCAAAAGATGCTGTCTGGACCAAAAATAAGGAAGATGACCAGTGGCGACATTTTGACCTGAGAGGAGCAGGAGAGAAGTGAACATTTACGTAACAATATGGACTAAATATTTGTGTCCCCCCAACACTCAATGTTGAAATTCTAACCCTTAATGTGATAGTATTAGTGGGGCCTTTGAGAAGTGATTAGGTCATGAGGATGGAGCCCTCATGATTGGGCTGAGTGCCTTTATAAAAGAGACTCCAGAGAGTTCACTTTCCCCTTCTGCCATGTAAAGACACAGCAAGAAGACACCATCTATAAACCAGAAAGTGGGTTCTCGCTAGATATCAAATCTGCTGGTGCCTTGGGCTTGGGCTTCCCAGCCTCCAAAACTGTGAGGAATAAATTTCTGTTTGTTATAAGCTACCCAGTCTATCGTATTCTGTTATAGCAGCCCAAATGGACTAAGACTCCTGGTGACAGAGATCTCTTATGTCTCGTTCTGATCTCTTAAGTCTCGTTCTTTCTCTGGCCTTACTTTGTCTCCCCAAGTGTACATATTGTCCTCCCAATTCCATTTCTGAATTTCTCTATCTCATTCATTCATTCACCTATTCATTCATATATTTGCAAATATTTTTAGCTATGACCTGCAGAAGGGGCTTCCCTCTGCCCAGCCTTAGTTTCCTTGTGTGTGAAATGATGAATTTGGGCTAGGTGGAGTTTCACCGTCATGTCCCTGGCAGCACTAATGTTCTTTAAATCCATGAAGACCTTTCCTACATAACCCTGTCAGTAGGAAGACGTGATCCAATCTTTCACTCTTTGTGCATTCATTCTCCTTCTTACAGGTGCACAGTTTTTCCTGGTACGTTCTCTCAGATGGCAGCAGAGCAAAGAATGAGGTAACTGCTGAGGAATGGCTGCCAAAACCTTATGTGGGAAAACAGAGTTTTCCAGAATTGATATTTCTAGGAATGATTGAAGAAAAAAAAATAGATGCAGCTCAACTTGGCAAGGTTAACAGCACAGGCGGCAGCCTCTTGGGCTTAGCTGCCAGCATGACCTCAAATGAACCAGCTTTGCCTGACAGGACACCTGACAGGAATGCAGGGTGTGGAGTGGCCCGCAGGCTGTGGGGATGACATGGAAGAAACTGAAAGCTGGAGAACTGCTGGGCAGAGATGTAGAGGATGTCTCTAGTGGTCTCCAAGTCAGCACTAGCCAGAGATGACGGCTATGGACATCAGATGTGAGGAAATTTGTGGGGCCAGCTCCTCTGAGTGCTGGGGGATTATGGTCAGCTGTTGACTGTTCTCTCTGACTTTTATTCCTAGTGTCTCCAAGAGAAGTGAATCTTCCTCCTGGATTTTCTGGAAACTGGTCTGTAACAGAGTGAGTCACCTCCTTGGGAAGTTAGCCTTTTAGTATCTTGCCACTATTTCCTTTTGTGTTATGCACTTTCTGACCTCCAGCTGTGATGTCTTAGTTGTCATTTATGTGAACGCATTAAGTGGAGAATTGGCATGCAGGAGAGCTGGACTTTTTTTCTCCTTGGTGGTTGACTTCTACTTGCTAAGGGACATCTAATTGATGGGAACTCATGTGAAGGCCTGAGAAGTGGGGAGGACCAGTAAGCAGAGCTGGAAAGAACCTCCGTGATAACCTAATCTGGCTCATCTCTTTGCAGATGAGGGAAACATCTTGCGTCTGTGCAGGAGAACCAGATCAAGAAGCCAGGGCTCTTGATTTTCAGTTCATTCTCTTGCTCCCATCTCCATGCCTTCAATTAAAAACAAGGCAAATGTGCTTTTCATAAGCAGGTAGTATAAGCAGATGACCTTTCGGGGATGTGAATAAAGGACAGATGTTAGAGAATTCCCCAAATTGAAGTTAGAGCCAGATTTAGAAGAAGCTGAATTTTAAAACCTGCTTTTGGGCATAGATATTCAGCGTTAGAAGAGGCCTTAACAATCATATCATCCTTAGCCCTCCCTTTACAATTGAGGAAACTGAGGACCAAAGAAGTGAAGTGATTTTTGTACTCTATTGAGAGGTAGCTTTATAAATGAATATTTTAACTTCTTTCCTTATTTTTATTATTTAGCTTTTGGACCCCACTTTCCCTTTCCCTTCCACTTTTTTGATTGTGACTTGGCAATTTTTTTATTTTTTGAGGTCGATCTCATCAATTTTGATTATAGATCTTCCTCAACTTATGTCGGAGTTATGTCCCAACAAACCTATCGTAAGTTGAAAACATCATAACTCAGAAATGCAATTAATACCCCTATCCTACAGAACATCACAGCTTAGCCTAGCCTACCTTAAATGTGCTCGGAACACTTACATCAGCCTACAGTTGGGCAAAATCATCTCATACAAAGCCTATTTTATAGTAAAGGGTTGAGTAGCTCGTGTAATTTATTGAACACTGTACTGAAAGTGAAAAATGGAATGGTTGTCTGGGTACAGAACAGTTGTAAGTATATCAGCTATTTACCCTCGTGATCGCGGGGCTGACTGGGAGCTGCGGGCGCTGCCGCTGCCCAGCATCACGAGAGAGGCTCTTGCCACATATTGCTAGCCTGGGGGAAGATCAAAATTCAAAATTCAAAGTATGGCTTCTACTGAATGCATGTCACTTTCACACCATCATAAAGTTGAAAAATCGTGAGTCGAACCATCATAAGTCAGGGACCATCTGTATTTGTCATTTACTGAATTTCTTCTCTCTGCTTCTCTCTATTTTTCCTGTCTTATTATTATTATTCTTTTAATAATGCAAAACCATAAATAGCACCTCGGGTCTGATCCCACAGACCCTTCCTTGAGAAAGTAAATGGAGTCTTTGCCTATTCACATGATCCACGTGGCTTACAGCAACAGCATTTTGTTGCTCTGCCATGAACACCCTCCTATCACATTGGCCACCCTTCCTGGCCCTCCTGGCAATAGTACAGACCTTCCACCACTTGGTGATATTTATGCCCCCAAGTGTATTTGTCTGAAGTATTTTTTTCTTGCCAAATTTTGGTTGATTTCCTCTCCTTGTTTTCAAGGTCTTTTTGCCTCCAGCTGCTGGAGACAAACACCATTGTAATCACAACAGCAGGACTGATTTAACTGATAATTGACAAAACAACCTGGAGTAATCATCAACTCTCATTCATAACTTCTCTATTCAACATTTCCTCCCCAGAAGTCATGGATTTGGCTAAGTTTTCCTGTCCAAAGTTCTGTCAATATCTGGATTCTATGCCAGAGTAGAGTGTGCAATTATCCAAAGGAATTTCTAAGCCTTCATATTGCTTACCCCTCTTCTGCTTTCACTTAAATATTACTTCTCTTCTTAGGCATTCCCTCTGCCTCTCCTAGTGCATTGATGGTATATGCTCTGGCTCTTCAGTGTTTAAGATTCAGAAAGTTTTAGGAGTAGCTGAAAAGTCTATTCTTTGGCCTGTCTATGGTATCATTTGGGCCAGTGAAACTAACAGATGAAAAGAGGGAATTACTCTAAATTTCCAGTGGCTCTTGATCAGAGTGGGTGGAGGTTAAAGTAACCCAGGCAGCTCCTTACTCAGCACAGCTTCCTTGGGCTTATGCGCACTAGCCCTGTGAGATCCTGTGCACCCCTCCGACCCATGCCAGCTCTGTACCTTCTGGACTTTCTGCACCCTCAGCCACTTCTGCAGAACCCTCTGCATTTTTCCATCTATGTCAGCTTTGTGGGACTCTCTGCCCCTTTCCCACCATGGCCAGCCCTCAGCTCAGGCTCCATTCAGCTACTTAGAATGACTTGTTGGAATGTAGATTGCCTGAAGTGGCATATGACTTGAATGTACACGTTTTGTTTATTCTAAATATTAATTGCTCCCCTCAGGTTGGCAACTTAAAAGTAAATTTTTCACGGCTTTCTCTCTATTCTAAGCTACAAAAAGACCTAGATCAGATAAGCTAGGCACCAGTCAACACCATTTTGCTCCACGCAAAGGCATTATGAAGTCTCTAGATCCTTCCAACTATTTTTTTGAAGTTAGATAACAAAGGGCAAAGCATATCAGTAGCAGCTCTGTCCTACGGAATCAGTCAGCTTGCTCTATCTCAAATTATCTTCAAAATACACAATCTATTCTCAGTAAGGTTCTCTATTTCCCTAGGGACTTATTTCAATGATTCTACTTCAGGTCCATTGTTTTCTCCATTGCCAAGGATTCCATCTTGGGCTGAGTAATCAGGGTGTTTTGTTGGAGAGGATCTCTCTAGCCAGCCCAGGGCCATTTGTCTAATGAAAATGCTTTCCAGAAGTTTCTTGTCAAGGCAAACTATGAAAAACATGAGATCTATGTACAAATTAATACTTAGAGTCACATTAATTTATTAATCTCATATAGCTATCACATTGCTCATCCCAAGCATACTATTCTTACTAAAAATCCCATTTTCTTTCATTGTTTAATTTATGACATGATTTCAAGACCTCTTCCTACCCGGTTTCTCTTCACTGTTTGCAATACAGTTTGTCTAAATCCTCCCTAAGCATCTCTGTAAGTCATATTTAGTTTTACTTTTCTTTAGAAAGGAAACCCTCCAACTAGTAATATTATTTTAACTTCAACAAGAAATCTAATATTTCTAAATATTTTCATTTATTGTTGCCTAGAGAGCTTTTTTAAGATGTGTTTTAAAAAAAATTCGTAGAAGATAAATTAGGCCCAAGTGTCCATCTGATCTGCTTAAGATCTGATTTTGATAGAACCTGAAATTCTTGCACAAGAAGAAAGGAAGATACAGTTAGAGGAGGATGAGAGAAATTTTGAGACCATTGACTTCCTGTCTGCCTGGCGCTAGTACATTAGCCCTTATCAAAGTTGGAAGAGCTGGTACAACACAGCCATTGTAGGTATTGGATCAATACCTGGCACACAGCCTGAAGGTCAGATAAAGTACTTAGGCAGGCAGTTTGCCAGGCTAAAGAGATGTCAAGAAAATCAATTAGACTCTAAAGAAAGAGTAGCAAGCTAACTAAAAATCCCATCTTGAAAGGCTCTCTGTATTTCAAAGGTGTTTTATATACATACACAATATCTTTATCTTGTTCATAAAATTACATTTGATAAGCAATTAAAACCACCCTTGGGTCACCTGAGGTCAACTCACAGAAGATTGTAAACACTTGCTCTGTCCTAGATTAGAAATAGCTACCAAGGATGGAGATTTAATCAGATTCTTTTCAGGGTATAGGATTACATAACTTTTGATTAATTTGTTCTTTTTCTGTATTGATTAGTTTGTATGCATTTGGAATGCCAAAGATGCCCTTGTTATTTGAGTGGTGGATAGACAACGTGCACTTTGAGTACTCCAAGGATGCCAGGTAGTTTACTTAGTAAATTATAGCCGTCTCAAGTCAAAAAATAGAAGGGGAAAAACAGGACTGATTGCTTTGGTAAATTTTTTCATCAGCAAGCAAAAGAAAGAAGCATAGTGTTTACTGTGTGGAAGGCAGAAATATTCTTGCTATTTGTTTACCAGCAAAATCTTTTTGTATATATATAGTCCCTTCTCTGTCCCAGGGACCATGTGGGCACATTTTGGTATAAATAACATGATGATACTCTATTTATCCTCTGTCTTATGATTTTCCTGGTATTGTTACATAAGACTACTGACAGATAATTTGTATCTGGAGTACGTATTTCTCAGCTTCAGGAAGTTTTTGTTCAGTCTGTGAGGAGAAATAATATTTAGGTATTTCAATGTCCTGCCAATAGAGATTTATTCATCATGGATAATTATCAAGGGTAAATTTGTGGAATAGTGCTAAGCACTGGGTAGAGATACTGTGATGAACTAAATAGATGGGGTCTTTGCTTTCATGGAGCTTCCAGTCTAGTGAGGAAAACAGGCAATACACAGCACTCTAACAATATGTATAACTAAAAAGTTTAATGTGACAAAGCAAAAATAAGATAAAAGGTGGAAAATGTAAGCTCAGTCACAAAGGCTGCAAAGAAGGGGGTGGTGACAAGCATTTCAGGGAAAGGGGACAGCCTGCACCAAGAATCTCAGGTGGAGGGACCGTTAGGGGCTAGATCATGCAGGCCCTTGTAGGCCATTGCAACTACCAAGAAGACTATAATTTCCTTTCTTTCTTTTTTTTAACCTTTATATTACTTATCTGTGGTTCATAACAGGTTAATTGCAATAACAATAAGTAGCAATATTTCTTGTCTTGGATTTTAATGAACTTTATTTAAGATTCATATATTTGAAGGATTTTCCTGGGTCCCTGTTTCTAGATCTTTAACTCCAGTAGGTGGACGTAACTGACCTTGGCTTTTAGGGTGGGCCTTAACTTCTACTCCTGAGTACAATGCAGATCTAGGGCAAAG